AGTTGGCCGAGCAACTTGCGGCGAAGCGCCTGAAGGATGAGCAGCACCGTCACAAGGCTCGCAAGCAGGAGCTGCGCAAGCGCGAGAAGGACCGTCAACGTGCGCGCCGCGAGGACGCTGCTGCTGCCGCGGCCGCCAAGCAGAACGCCGCCGCGAAGAGGACCGCTGCACCTGCTGGCAAGAAACCCATGAAGGCCGCCGCCGCTGCTGCTGTTGCTGTTCCTGCCAAGGCTGCTGTTCCTGCCAAGGCTGCTGTTCCTGCTAAGGCTGCTGCTCCTGCTAAGGCTGCTGCTCCTGCTAAGGCTGCTGTTCCTGCCAAGGCTGCTGCTCCTGCCAAGGCTGCTGCTCCTGCCAAGGCTGCTGCAGCTCGAAAGAAGTGAAGCGCGTACTAGGACGACCAAACTCTTTTGTTGTTTTTGATTATTTTTTTTTGTGCTGTTGAAAAAGAAGCGTCTTTCGCAGGCCTCTCTTGTTTGGTGCTTGCGTGTGTGGGGTTTGTGGTTAGAGCGATCTTGCCTTCGATGGAGGGCAAATCATTTTGCATTTTTTTTTATTGTACTTTCTCTCTTTACTTTTTTTTTCTTGTTTGACATTTTGAGGAGCTGTGCCTTTTCCTGTGCGTGGTCATCGCTGTGTGGTGAGGTGGAAGCCGGGCGTTCTGAGAGGCGATGTCGCACGTCACGGCGGACTTGGAGTACTTCAAGTGTGACATGTGCGGCGTGTACCTGCACAAGGACATCTTCTGCGACCACCGGCGCGAGTGTAAGGGTCTTGATTCGACAGAGATGAAAAAGAGTCAGTGCCGCCAGATTGAGCTAGCGTTAGACGAGGAGACGCGGCGCCGTCTCGCGTCGCGGGCTGCCGATGGGGCAACTTTTGTGCCTGTCGAGCTTGCCGAAAGACACCAGCACGCGCGGGTGCGGCGGAATGTGGTGAACTTGTACCAGGCGGAGGTGGACAAGGCGCTGCAGCAGCAGCTTGCCCCTGACAAGATGAAGTCGCTTGCCGCATTTTTGCGGGAATGATTCTGGCAGGAAAAGCAAAGGTGACACAACTGGTGACGCGGAACCGACGCAACTGTCAAGGTGAGGTCCAAGCGCGGGCACGTAAGGGGCGAAGGTTGAGACGGTAACGACCCGCTTGGTTGCGTATATGGAGGCAGAGGCGGCAGAGTGCACCAACATGCTGAGGGCGAGGACGGTGGCAAGAAGGATGTACATTTGTCTGAAACGAAACACGACGTTGCGTGGGGCCAGTCGTGGCGGTGACACCCAAAAAAGCTGTGAGGAGGACTCCATGGGCGCTGTCGCATTAAATTTTTTTTTGAGTGTGTGCTTCTTCTTGTGCTTGCTTGTAGGTGCGTGTGTCTGAGTGAGTTCTTTTTGTACTGTGCTCTCTTGCTTCCCCACACGCTGGTTCCCTGTATCCCACCATCCCCCTTTTTTCTTTCCTTTTGGAACCTCCATTGCTATTGAACAAAAGGCATCTATTACTTCAACCCGCTACAATGGTGTCGCTGAAGCTGCAGGCTCGTTTGGCGTCGGACATTCTCCGCTGCGGCCGCCACCGTGTGTGGCTGGACCCCAATGAGGCATCTGAGATCTCCAACGCGAACTCACGCAAGAGTGTGCGCAAGCTCATCAAGGACGGCCTGATCATCCGCAAGCCCGTCAAGGTGCACTCGCGCTCCCGCTGGCGCCACATGAAGGAGGCGAAGAGCATGGGCCGCCACGAAGGCGCTGGACGCCGCGAGGGTACCCGCGAAGCCCGCATGCCGAGCAAGGAGCTGTGGATGCGCCGCCTGCGCATTCTCCGCCGCCTGCTGCGCAAGTACCGCGAGGAGAAGAAAATTGACCGCCACATTTACCGCGAGCTGTACGTGAAGGCGAAGGGTAACGTGTTCCGCAACAAGCGCAACCTCATGGAGCACATCCACAAGGTGAAGAACGAGAAGAAGAAGGA